CCCCGCTTCGGGGTCGGCGGATAAGATGGTGTGATGCTGGTCCCATGCTGGTGTGATGGAAGGTTGTGGTGAGGTCTCGGGTTGGGTCATTGTGGATGGATGGATGGACGGACGGAGGGATGGATGGATTGATGGATGGATGGATGTTTCTATGGTCTCCGTCAGGTATCAGCCGGCATGTCGCAGCGCTGGCGCGTGGAGCGTCCTCGGTCAACCGGCAGCCCTCTGCGGAGTTCGTGGCGCGTCCGCGGAATATCGGACGGAACTGACAACCCTCTCAGTGTTCTTCTCTGGCGTGTCTCAGCGCTGGCGCGTGGAGCGTCCGGACTTTTGCACGGAATCGCCAACCCTCTCGCTGCGCGTGGCGTGTCGTGTCGATGGCGCCTGGAGCGTCCTCGGAACTTTGCACGCAAGTGAACAACGTTTCGGGCGTGCAACGTGTCGGGCCGCTAGCACGTGGAGCGTCCTGGGAATTTTGCCCGCGCGCCAGCGTCTAGCGGGTCGGAGCGCTGGCACGTGGAGTGTCATCAGAATTCTGCTTTGAATCGATGACTTTGTAGTGTAACTGTAGTGCTGGAAACGTTTTCTTTAAAGCCTCCTAAAAATCCTCAAAAGCTGTCCAAGCCCGAACTCGACTACGTCGTCGTACAACTTGAGTATTGGAAACGCTTCTTGCGGAGCCTCCAGAAAGGGTCCGAAGCTAGTAGTAGCAGGACGAATAGTAATCGGAAGAATAATACTGTGTAGCAGTAATTTTAGAAAAAATCAAAACAGTCATAATAGCAGTAGTAATTATCAAGGTAATACCAGTATTCGTAGTCATACTTGTAATAATAGTAATCATAGTGACAACTGTCATAATATTAATGATAGCAATAATAGCGAGAATATTCATAATAGTAATAACAGTACTTGTAGTAAAAAACAGTCAGAACAGTAATGATAGTCATAATAGTAATAATAGTAATCAGAGTGATGATAGGAATAGTAATGATAACAATAATCCCAATGATCGTAATAGTAATAGTGCCGGCAATAACAACAATAATCGTAAGACTACCAACAATAAGAATGCTAGCAATAGCAATACAAACTGCAGCAATTGAAGTATTGTTGCCAATAGCAGTCGTCATAACAATCATATAAATCAATATGATAATTTCACTCATTACAACACATAAAAATGATGTTTGCAATGGCAATATCTTTGATAGCAGTAGAAAAATCATAGTAACAATAATAGCAAAAAGAATATCCAGAGTAATAATCATCATAACAATAATAGCACTAGTACTGGTAGGAATAAGATGAGTAGTCGTGAATGTATACAGCGATGTTTCGATGCGCGTCTCGATGGAGGACGGGTTATGGAGATGTTACTCGCTGCTCAAAGCGCTTTCGGGACAACCGATCTCTGGTTTTTTGCTAGGGCAGAGGGTTCTTGCTGTCCGTCCTCAGCAAAGGCTACACTGACCCCAAGCAGCGAGGACGAGGGTGCTTTTGTTGAGACTCGGTCAAAGTGATGGGATTATTGACTGTTCTAGAGAAGCCTATCCACGAACAGCTCAGCTCAGGAAGCCGTGGCAAGCGTGTTCGCTCTGACCATAAATTGTGCTGCCTGTTTTTGCATTGGCCTAGCCAGGCTCGGTGGGCAGACATGAACAGTGACTCAGTGACCGTGCTTTGAACTGACTGCAGTGTTGGCTGAAGGTGTTGTTTGGCACCAAATGGATATGAGAAGTTGCCCCAGCACCGCTGACTCATGGGGTGGGCTAGAGCCATGAGATGGCTGCCCAGTGGAACATGTAGGCGTGTGTTTCTTTGCCGGAGAAGTGTCATGTCTACAGGAGTTTGCAGGACTTCCTGTTAGGGTTTGATTCAACACTCCAACTTTAGCTTTCTGTTTGTAAGCGCATGTAAGCACAGACCTTCTCAGCACGTCACTGTACTGAATTCAGATGTGCGCTAAGGGCACTCAAGCCTTCGTCTTTGGCCAGGATTGCTCGGAAGACCCTAAGACGGGGTCATCCACTGGGCATGCTTGGCCACGCTGAGGGGATTTTCGACAGTCAAAGATGCTGCCGAGCAGCGCACGTAATCTATGAAGCTGCGTTGCTAGCTTCCTTACGTTCGCCAATTGCGTGTTCTATGGGTTGTCGAGGCACAAGAACCTCAGGACCAAAGTTCAACCCAAGCTCAAAAATCAGTTAGCATGATAATCGATTGTCATCCATCTGCTTGTAAGCAATGCGTGGGAGATCCAGAATGCCGACACCACAAGAGATGAGAAGTGACGATTTCACACACCCGCGTGCTTCGTGCATGTTCCACACGCGTCTTGCATGCGCAGTCCAAGTGTCATATGCTACCAGCAGCAACTGCAGCATGCTTTGCCAGGTCTGACGCTATTGTTGACTTCCTGCGGAAGGAGCACCTTTGGGAACAGCCGCTGACAGCAGCGTTGCCTTGACCTGTCTGCCAGTAACAGGACAGGGAGAGCTGAGGGTGAGCATGGCGGTGCCCATGAGGGCATGTGAGCATTTAAGTTTTCTCTCGAGTCTCTGCCGAATCTGCTGGCGCCACAGCGGATCTCAAAAGGGAATGCCACACAAGCACAAGGCTCAGGTTTGTTGGTTGCAGCGCGGGTCTCCTTTCAGCTTTGCCCGCTCTGCTCTGGTGTTTGGCTCGTAGCAACCCATCGGCACGAGCAGCCGAGGCCAGCTTGGGTTGTAAGAAAGCAGGGTTCAGGAAAAGGTACGGAGGGGTTTTTCAACTGCTTTGTACAGTGTAGATGTTTTTAGCATGCAGTCTCAGGCTGAAATCCCCTTGCATCAGTGCACTTCCAGGCCCTGCTCGAGATGCCGGCCACGCGCACACGCGCGTCCCGCCACTGGATCAACACAGGGATGGTTGCAACTTGCAGATCCATGAACCGCTTGTCAATAAGCGCAAGATGGTCAACCCCAAGCCGTTATCATGGCCAGACTTGGAAGGTGATAGGAGGAGACTAAACTGCTAATTCAAGCTACGGCTGGCAGCTTATTGCTGAGCTTGACCCCAAACCTGCTGGCTTATAGTCTCCATACTGTCCTCACAGATTTTCTGCCTGATCTGTGAATCTGTGAACCTCAGGTAAGCATCTGACGGAGTATCAGGGATGGCCGAAAGGCCGGTAGTTGCAGCTTGCAGATGTGTAGTCTGTTGGTCTGAGATGCGTGCCAGCGAATCGTGCCACGTAATGTCATGCAACTGACAGCATCTCTGGTTGGATGGAGAGCAAGCCTGGGTACAGCGTCACAGGCGCAAGAAGGAGGTTGAAGGTCTGAGTAGATTGCAATAGCCCTGAATGACTCATAGGAGGAAGCAGGCATGAGCTTCTATAGTTTGAAGTTCTCTCTCTCTGCCGCTGAGCCCACGGCACAGCCTGACTCAACGCGGCAGGCATATATCCCATGAGTGATGGGTGGGTGCCGCCATGTTATCCGAAAGAGGAGGCCAGCTCTGAAGCAAAGCGCCTACTCTGGGACATCGGAATAACCCGGCTTGCCCAGCCACCTCCACCGTTCTGGCAGGAACTTATCGAATACGAAGAGAAGATGAAGGCCAGAAAGAAAGCGACGCTTGTGAAGCGTGCCTCGGCGCAGTTTTTTTATTCAAAGTGGCGTTTTTCTTTGCCTGGGCTGCATTGGAACTTCATCTGACTTACACGTGGTGCCGACGTGGTGCCGAGGTCACCTCTGCATCAAGGACTCAGTCATGCTTCCTTTAAACTTGCTTTCCGGATTTTTCCAGGTTGGCAGAAGTGACGTTCATTGATGCGATGTGCATTAAATGAGTTTTATGTTGGAGGAGCCTCAGCTACAAAGTCTCTCCAAGCGCAGCTTTGCACAGAAGAGCACAGGCCCCAGGTGCAGTTGCATGCATGGTTTGGAGTGCGCTTGCCACTTCATGGCCCATATCGGCCCATGTTGGAAACCCGGTCCTGTAGCAGCGCACACGCTTGTGTGGTTGCAATGTCCATAAACTTTTAGTTCTAAGGACATGTGGATGGTTGTCAAAACTATTGTCCCTCTTCGGGTACCCTAAATATTAGATGCCGTACTATAATAGGGAGCCACAAAGGGACCATAATTTTGACAACCACCCATGTAGAACTTTTGAAGCAGAGAAAAAGAGAATGTTACCAAGATAGAAGTGAGCATGTAAGTGAGATTGAGTCGACATGTGACCATGCATGGTGAGGCTATTTAGTCCGAATTAATTAAGAGTAAAGCGAGGGTCGAGTGAGAACAACTTGAACATGAAGTGAGGCGAAACAGTAGTCAGAGCAAATGAGAGTTAGGTAAGACGGAGCGTGTCATGAGACAAAGCGATGAGGAGCATGACGGTAATGACTGCATAGCTCTCAGATAGGCCTTTCTTCTAGCCTGGATCCCACTGTGTGTCACTTTTTGAATGATTTCGACCTTATTCGCACTTATTTCCAGTTCTTGTTGCATGCATGTTGGTTCTCAGCCAATTTGTAGTCTTGTTTATCGCTATCGGTCTGAATCCTACTCCTTCTTGTTTCAATTCTCATCGACATGACATCTGCATAGCTGGTGCTGGCACAAAGCTTACTGCCTTCCATTGGCACGGTGTCAGCTCTGACAGCGAGCAAGGCCAGCATTCAATCCAATTGACAGGTGAGTACTCTATGCTGGCATACGCTATCGCTGAAGGCGAATACTCCGGTGAAGGCTACCCAGCTGAATGAAAAAGTGTGTCATTTCTGAGAAATATTTGCTCAGGGGAAGAATCCCAAAGAATCATAATGCGAAGAGAACTTGCTGAGATTCCCTTTGGGGTAGCTAATGGTATTCCAATGTCGGAGCTCTTCCAAAACACCTAGCACTTTTCAGGCGACGATCGGAGCTACTTCGTAATAGTCTTCTACGAGCCTGCCAAGAAAAGCAAGGCCTGAGCACGCGGGCAAGGCTGATCTGATGCCTACGGGTCTGAATTTAAGGCTGAGGCCTTCTAATCCGGAAATGTCGTTAACTGTCCCCTTGATTGGAAGCTTCAGGCTGCTGCAATTAGGCCACTTACATGGTAAGAGCGATGTCCACTTGACTTCAAAATGTGCGGTTCTGGCAGTCGTCAGATGGGCTATGCTGATCCCACCCTTGAGCTGTCTTCCTCATGCTTACTCAAGCTTTGTCTTCACCTGCAGGTGTTCCAGAAGTTTGTTCAGTGCAGGCGAGCATCGATTCCAGGGACCCTTAAAGTGTATTCATGCATATTCATACCACCTCGTGGCCCGCCTGAGCGCATTCAGTGAAAAATGTAGGCAGAGAGCAGTGCAATGAAACTAGGTTGAGCGGGCGTTTAAAACAGTGGGCGCAGCTCTGGCCGACTATGAGCAGGCCAGCCCATCTGGCAAAGATCAAAGAGAGAAGCTGACTTTTTGCAGCCCACCAGGTTGTGGTCGATCCTGATTCCAAAATGGAGCAGGAGGCGAGCCTGTTTTGCACATTTGTCAGAAGCCCTCATGTTTGCATCATTGGTTAGGAGAAGTTTATGTATGCCCATGGGGCAAGCGACCCTGGAGAGTGCATTCTCGGCGAGTCGGGCTCTCAGCTTCTCCTCAGGCTCTGTTTGAGGCTCTCCTTTTATTGTGGCCTTCTCGTTAGTGGGACATGTGGATCCAGGTACGAGTACCAGGTCGTGCCCAAAGGAAGCCCAGAATACGACGACCCCTGGGGTCCGACGCATCCAGAAGGCCAGCTCCTCTCCCTTCACGATCGTCAGTGAGTCGAGACGCGATCTCATCCCGCAGGCAGATTCTGGGAGTGACCCTCGGTCTGAGCGGCTGGGCAGTGTGAGTGTGAGCATTGCAAAGCGTGCTTGTGATGGGAGATCTTCAGTGCTGTCGATCAAGCTTATGCTGCCAAAGGGCACCGGACACTGGCAGGTCAGCCTCGGAGCGCTTCTGCTCTTCCAGGTTCTCAGAACGATGCTTCAAAGTGCTCCGTGTGAAGACGCGCATTCGAGTTTTCCTTGATGCGTTGACTTTGACTTTTGTTGCTTGGTTTACGTAGTTAACGTTCTTCAGAGTGGTCGAAGTGGCCTTCAAGAATCATCTAGGCAGCCTCTGTGCAAGGGAAGACTGAAATGGCCTGGCGTTTTGTGTTGAAATTGGCATGCTGGCAAGTCTTGTGGCAGCAATTTGGCTCCGTGGCACATGCGCGGCAAAGAGCCCCGCGCAGCTTTTGCGGAGGATGCATCGGCCTTAGTGAGTGCTTTTCTCTCCCATGTATGTTCCTAGCCTGTAGGAATGCTCGGTTAAGCTCTCTCCAGACAAGCGGAACTTTGAGGGAAAAGGAACGGGCACTCCTAGCAGGACTTCAAGTTGGATGTTCATGCTTTCTTTCGCAGAACTCACAAAAGTTGACGACTGGGAGTAGCATTGGATGCTAGGCGCGCCGCAACCGGCGTCCTTGCCTTCGCAGCTCCTTGCTTAGACACGAATGTGCTGTCATGTCAAATCTTGCTGAGGATGCTGCATCTCTCATTCAGGCCAGGTGTAAGCTAGCTAGCAGCTCGATGGCTGTCGGACGTGGGATACTTGAAGCAGTGGCTTTGCGCTGGGGTGTTTGTCGCGATGTCTAGAGAGTCAGTCAGCCTTTGCTTGTCTACTGGGGCATTGGTGTTCCTGCCAAAAAAAAATTCTGAAGCCTGTGTGAAGCCTTCCTCCACTAAGGGCACCTCACAAGCCTTCTATCTGCTGCGCGGCTGCAGTTGATTAGTGCGTCAGGTTGGAAATGCCTGAAGCCGCAGCAAATGGTCCGACATGCCGTCTTGAATTTGCAGCAGATTGCATGCTAGGCCTGGCGTTGCCCCCATTGAATACTCGGAGGGGGCACGTGTGGAACTGAAGGTGAACAAGCTCCGGCCTCGGAAGATCTCGGAATCGCAAGAACTTCGCCTGGATGCAGAACGCCTGGTCCTTGCCAGCTCGAGGCTGACATCTGTGAAGACTCAGCTGCCGTATGGCTACTACACGTCAGAAGCTCATAACCTGTTAGCATTTGCTGTCGTGAAGCTTGGCCACTACTCTGCATCGCCAGTGCTCGGAAGTTCTAGTCTAGCCTTTTTACGTGCCGCTAGGCTGCTAGACGTCTTAGCCAATTCCGTTTGCAAAGCTGTGCGGCCAGTCAGTGTATCGCATTGAGATGATGCCAGCATTGAACGATGCAGGGCAGGAGCTTCCATTTGTATGTGTGGCAGGCGTTCTTGAGAGCCAAATCAGAAGTCTTATTAAGGCAACTGTTCAAGCCGCATCTACCTCCCAGTATCTGTTGCCTTGCGTTTTCCCTGCGTGCTGTGGCTGCTTCTGGTAGTGGGGAGGCATTGTCACACACCCTGTGGAATGACGCTGGGGCACTGGAGTAGTTTTTTTTGAAGGCAATTTGCATGAATGTGCATCCGCCCAAGTGAATAGATGCTGCTGACATGAGGCTGCCCTTCTGCAAGCCGGAGGGCGGAATCTCCGATAGTGTGGAAAATTTGGGTGAGATCTTGGCCTCTCGGCTGGCACTTGCAGACCAGTAGAAGTCTCGTAGAGCCATGTCCGGCCAGCTTGACTCAAACCTGACATGTACTCCTGGTATATATACATATATGATTCCTGTTTTATGTCGTATGTAGTCCCTGAACCCTGAACTCCATGAACCTTGCATGTAAACCCAGAAAGCCTGATCCCAATGGAGCCAAGACAAGCCAAGGCTGGAGACCTCATCGAAAACTCACCTTTCGACTTACGAATGAGCCTTGGCCTCAGGGCCTCACCAGTGGACCATGTCACCATTGGTTTTCAGCAAGCTCAGAAGCAGGCACATGACTCAGGTGAGGATGAGAAGTGCAAAATGCTTTGCAAAAAGCCTCTAGAGACAGCCCGTGCCCCAAAGTTGAGATGGCTTCTTCGATACCTGCAGTCTTGAGTTTTTTTTTCTGCGGCGGTGCATCAAGTGCCAGGCCGACAAAGAAAAGTTTCGATCTCGGATCGATGACGAGTATTTAGCATTCTCCTCAGAGTACTGTCTCCTGCTGTCCTCCTCCAGTGTCAAAGTCTCATGTGGTCAGAGATGCGGGGCAGGCATTTGACAATGGAATTATCTAGCACAGCGCTTGCTTGCTCCTGACCTCGCCTGGCTGTCAGGTGAACTTTATAGTTGACAATCTCCCTGCCGCAACCCCAGCGGCGCTTTTTGTTTGTAGGCTGTTGGTGCATTGAACAGCGAACTCATGCGCGTTTCATGATGACACTGATGGTTGTAGTTGATGATCTGCGTTTGCTCAATTTGCTGCCACATTCCACCACTTGGAAGCAAGGCTGCCACGAAGTATGTTCGCAAAAGTGATGGTGGCGAATTCACGTGCCCTTCTTATTTGTGTTTAGGCTAATGTGCAGACATGTTGAATTATGTTGAGGACGTGCTTGCGGAGCGGAAGTTTTGCTGGTGTGTCAGTACTGCCTCCGAGCCAGAACTCAGGCTTCAACTGATTCGAACGCTTCAAAGCATTTCGGCTTTCCAGAGAGTCACCAAATTGTGAAAACTTGCAGATGCGCAATATTATGCTTGTGTAGCTATTCTGAAGATATATGAAAGCTGAAAACAACACCCCTCAGCAGGGTGAGGACCTTGTGCAGACAAGTTTCGAGCAAGCGATCTCATGGCCTCAATGCTTGAAGCTTGAGACGATGGCTGCAGCAATTGATGCAGGCATGATCCCGAATACTGTTGCTTGCTTCCGTTTGTAGGTCAGGAAACGTGGCAGCTGTCCACCTGTACAGACGGTTGGTCCCGATGCTCCGGTGCTATGGCTGGACGTTTGTTGAGATTCGACTGCCCTCAACAGGTGAGGGCGGCCTCCCTGTCAGCGTGAGATCCTGCCTGGAGCGGAACCATGCAGAGCTTGAGCAAGTGCTGCGTGTCCCGGCAGCAGGGTGTTGCAAGCGAAGTTTGTGCGTTTCGGACATGTTCCAGGCATTGGTCATAGGGCCTGCCTTCTTCAAACTGCAAGGGCGTGTCGGCTGCTTCTTTGCCACAGCCACATGCCTGAGGCGACTGGGTGGCTGAGTTTGCAGCTGGCCAAGATGCGTGGCATTACCAGACGGAGGCAACCGAAGTCGTACTGTGGCGCCCTGCGCTCTTTCTACGTGGTATGGCTGCTAAGCAAAGTGCCCTCCCATTGCAGGCTGCAGTGCCGCGAGAGCTTGGGACGAGCCTGGCAGCTTGGTTTGTTTTCTAAGTATGCTTGCAGCAAAGGACTCGCGTGCAAGCCGTTCTTGGTCCTAGCAGAGCAGGTATAGCCGAGTTGTATTTGTCTTGCATAGTTTTGTAAGAGACCTGCACCGCAGAGGCGCTCAACTTCGGTCCAAGGACGGGTTGCTGCAATTGAATGCTTGTATGGTGGTTTTGCGATTGGGATGGCAAGCAACGACCACCGTATGTAACTGTTGTGTAACCCCTGTTCAGGACGGGACCGGCCAGTAGCCGACCCCCAAGATGTGTTGAAGGTGGGCAATGCGAACAGTACATTTGCGCGAAAAGAATAAGTGTTCTGCAGATAGCGAGCTGCCGGACGATCCAGACTTGGAGGAGGCCCACTGATGCGCACTGTGCAGTAAGACTTGCTTAATAATGCAGATTGGACACGCAGCATTTCCGGCAGTCCTGTGACGCTAGTCAGCCGGCACTTTGAGGCAGAAGCCAGCGCTCTTGCTTGGATTCCTCAGCGCCATAGTGTAGCGCAGCCTTGCGTCATTATTATGTTCAGTATTCTACTCTGAATGGTACCGTGTTGTTTTTTTGTTGTTGTTGCCTTGGATCCTCTATTTGCTGCTTTCTTGTCTGTACTCGTTGTGTCGTGGGAGTTCCCTTGCCCGGAGGAGTCGCGTTTTTTGGGTGCGGACTTTTCCACTGCACCTCCGCTGAGACAGTTGCCGAAGTTGGATGCGACTGGTAGGATGCAGCGTATAAATCAAGTATTGTCTTGACATCAGCATCAAAGGCATTTGCCAGAGCTGAAGATGAGCTTGGTTCTGCCGAAGATTCGGAGACTTGTCAGGGGTTTGCAAATAAGTTTCGTGCGGTATCCGCCCTTGTAATGCATGGGAATCCTTCGACATCATTGATGCTCCATTGCCTTGCAGTTGCAGGTGGATAGGGTCTTTGCTTTGGAAGCTGCCCGGATACACTGCAAATCATTGGCACCTCTCAGAAGCAGTTGACCATGCAAAGGACGATAGCTTGGACCAGATGCGGCAGACCATTGCCGCCGCAAAGCTGGCCAAGAACGGTGGCTTGATTTCCAGAGGCTTGATCTTGCTGCCCATCGATTTGTTTAATGACAAACGGGGTGTGCTCTTCGCCGTGCGTGCATTGTTCGTTGATGCGCTTGCATTGGCTACAGTGACCGTAGTGGCAAACAGGATGTCTGATGACGCTGCATCTGAGACTGCAGCTCGAGTCTGCCCAAGCTGATGATGTTGTGAAATCGAAGGTTCGCGCGAGAGCACTCGCAGCACGAAAAGTCCGCGAAGCCTCTGGAGACAGCCTGATGAGCCCACCTTGAGTGCCTTTCTCGCAGATTACAAGGTCTCACGAGGGTTATAGAGATGGTTTCTGAGTCTCTAATGTGGTGATCTCAGCCGGCCGGCATGCTGATAGCTTTGGAGCGCTATGGACGCGAGGCTATCTGCAGGCCATCAGCCGTGTGATCTTGCGTGAGGGCCTTAGCTCCATCCCGTAACATGTAGCAGCTTTCTGCCCGAGGCCTTTTTTTCAGATTTTGATGGAGAAGTTGCTTTTGCTGTTTCTTTCTGTTGGTGCATCAAAAAGTGGTGCAAAAGTTCAGCACAGACTGAGGCCACCGCGCGTTTGATGCTGTTTGTGGGTCGGTCATCATCCTCAACGCTGCCTTTATTGGTTCGGTGCTTAGAGTGTTGGCACCCTGAGAGTAAGGCTGCACTTGCACGAACTTGGAGGATGACGAAAATACACTTTCTTTGAAATGTCCTTGTGGTTCGCGTAAACTTGGGCTGCAATGTCCAGGCGCCAAGCTTATCGTTTCAGTTTCGCCAGCTTTGGGTATGGAAGTCTCTGCTAGAATCAGCTATGTCAGAGCAGGTATGGTGGAATGAGGCTGGTGGTAAACTTGGAGTTGCGCTGATTATGTTACCTTTGCCAGGTGTCCAGGTGGAGTATGAAGCGGTACACCCTGGAGAGCCGGAATTGGGATGGTGGCTGGCAGGGCAAGTCTTCTTTTGTGCCTGGGCATCCATTTCCTGTGTAGTAAAGCACGGATGCCAAAACGAGGGCTAGTGAAAGCTGTTGACAGCCTGTTTGCAGAACAGTTTAAAATTCGTTTGCCGTTTGTTGGGATGCACTTGATACACGGATGCTGTTCCACATTGTTTTTGGTGCTTCATTCTGCTTTGCATTGTGTGCATTCCAAGTACTGACCCAGACGTTGAACAGCGTGTTGGTACGCTCTGTTAAATTGGGGCGTAGCCTGGGCTGCTTCACATCCGCTACTGACAAGCTGTCATCCTGCATCTTCCAAGGTTGTGCGTATGTTGCTGAGCTGACGTTGAGATTCTTGGCATCCCTGGTGTCCGAGCTTGTGTTATTGCGTAGCTGGCGAAGCCGACACGAAATAGTATGCGTGCAAGGTGTTGCACGTGCTTGCAGATGCCCTGCTGAGGAGTCAGCGGCCAGGGCAAAAATTTCTTTGGCAGCTTGGCTGGAAACTGCCTCAGCCAGTCTGATGCCTGGAGAAAGGAGCGCATTCTGCGCACAGCTAACAACTGGAAGAAGTTTTCACTTCATGCGTGCAGTGCATGCTATCACTTACCAGTCAAAATAGGCCTATCCGATGCTCATGAGCAAGTTTGCCGCTGCTGTGCACAAAGAGGGTTTGCCATTGCTGCATCTCAGGCGTTGTCGACTGGAGGCTGGAACCACCATGAGCAAGCTGAGCACCCGCTTGTCGGGGTGGGGAAGATTTAGGGACTTGTCGCGGGCTCCTTTGTCTTGGTGGACCTGGGCAGAGGAGTAGCACTAGACGTAAAAGGCGGAGGGCCCTAAACTCCAGCACACTTGAAGCCATGACCCCAAAACCTAAACAAGAACCCCTAAACCCTAAACCCCAATCTCAGGAGCTTTCAGCAGTGGAGAAAAGGTCCCAGAAAAAGACCCAAACCCAAGAACCATACGCCGCAAAACAAACCTCGACCCTTCAGATCCTAAACTTCAAAAACTCTGTACACCCTAAAAACACCAAATCTCAAAAACCCTGAAGACCCCAACGACCTAAAACGATTACTACTACTACTACTACTGCTGCTACTACTACTACTGCTGCTGCTGCTACTACTACTACTACTACTACTACTACCGCTAGTGGCAGCGACTGAGCGCCGGCGCATCGGG